TGTCCCGTCCCCGGGTCCCTCCATGCCCCCGCAGTGAGGCCGGGGAGGCGGCGGGCGAAGCCGGCGCTGAGCGCTTTTGGCCGGGGCTGACGGCTCTGCCGGCGGCCACCATGGGGAAATCCAACAGCAAGTTGAAGCCTGAAGTTGTGGAGGAGCTGACCAGGAAAACGTACTGTGAGTAAAGCGGGCCTCGCTCCGCCGAGGGGGAACGGGGAAGGGGGGTGCTGAGCGCCGGGGATGCTGCCCCCGGGGAGGCGCCGGGGGGGGAGCCGATGGGGTCGGTGGGGTCCGCGGCCCGGCCCCGGGGCCGGCCCCGGCCTCTTCCCCCGGCTCGTCGCTGGGTTTGCAGCGGGGAGCCGGGATTCCTGCGGGCATCGGCGCTGCCGGGGCCGTTCCCCGGGGGAGGGCGCAGGCTCCGCCGGGCTTTGTTGCAAGAATTCGGAGATTAGCCTGGGAGGATAGAAAAAACCAACCCAAACCCACAAGGCAGCAGAGACAAGGAAGGCGGGTAGGGAGCCGGAGAAACACTCTGTTTTCTTATAAAAGCAATTTCTCCGTGGCCTATTTCTAAGCCTCCAGTAAGCGTGGGACAAGGGCCGCATCCTGCCCGCCTGCTGTGCCCACCTGGAGCCATGCGCCTTCCTTTTCCTGAGCCCCCTCCTCCTGCCCCTGCTCCGAGCATCCTTTCCTTCGGGGCTGCCTGGCCCTGGGCCTTTGCTGCCAGGCGGGTACCCGGGGGACCGGCCGCGATGGTTGTCCTCCCCTTGCTGCCTCCCCGGAGCCAGGCAGCTTCTCCCTAAACCGGGAGCCAAACCGACTGGGTGGCTTTTCAAAGTTCGGGTGCGTTAGTCGGAGGGGTCTCCTTTGTTATTATGCTCTGAAGTGGAGAAGAGAGCCCGATGCCAGAGAGTTCGGTATTTTTCTACGAGTATCTCAGTATCAGTTTAATAACCTGATTTTCGAAGTGAGTGGCTTTCCTGTCTGAACCTCCGCTGTAATCTTATTAACGTGGCTAGTGCCTGAGCCATCCAGTTTTAGCAAAATGAGGGTTTTTTTCCCTGAAGGATGCACAAAGGAAACAAAGGCTTTGGTGGTTCAAGTTAGCCTCTCTGCTTGCAGGTCGGAGATATTCCCCTAACGTGTAGCCGACCTGCGAGCTCTCCCCGCTGTCATTGCTGCAGTCCCACGGCAGCGCTTACCCAAAAAGGCAATAGATTAGGATGCAGCAAGTTCTCCCATACAGAGAAGAGGCAATACTGGTGCATTGCACAACCCTACACGCGGGGTTGCTCTCTCATCGTGGCACAGCCGGGAGCAGGCAGGAGGAGGGCAGGTTGCGGGGGGGCATGTCCGCATAGCCAGACTGCGAGCGATGGTAGAAGACGTTGGGGTACCCCGGCTGGGCTTCCTTGAAGTGGCTTCGGGAGAAGAAATAGCGAGAACGTGGCAGTGCCAGCTGGGCACAGACCCCAGCTGGAGCTGAGCCCTGGATTTTGGTGTCCTCACTGCAGCTGCGACCCACGGCGGGTGCAGCCGTGCTGAGCCCAGTACGGTTATTGCCGTGCTGCAATCGCCCGCTTGGTTTGCAGCCGCCGTGACGATCCAGTCTCCAATGGAGAGGGATCTGGGAAGAGCCAGCCCCGGCGCAGCCTCGTCTGCTGGTGATCTCTTGCATGCCGAGCTTTCTGCACCCCTGGGGTGGCTCCTCTCTTTGCGGGGAAGGTGCCGACCCCAGCGGGGCCGATGGCAGGGCACACGGGCAGCGATGCTCCATGTCTTACCGGCAGCGGATGCCAAACAAACACAGCGCTGGTGAAACCGTCGTCTGCAGGCACGGGGATGTCTCTTTTGCTGGATGAGGCTGGCAGAGGGTCGTTGCCTTCTGAATCACTTTATTCCTAACTTTCTGCTCCCCTCTCTTGGGTACCCTCCCCTTTCCACCGCACCCCCTCCAAAAAAGACTCTGGTCCTCTGATCGCTCCCTCGATGAGTTCCTGGCCTGCCTGGGGCTTTGCCTGCCCGCTCTGGGCCTCTCGCTGCCTCTTTTTCAAGGTCCACCAGCCCCACGTACCTGTGCAGGTGAGGCAGCAGCGCCTGGGCAGCCGTGCCGTGGGGCAGCACGTGGCCCTTCGCGTGGCCGGAGCCTGGTGCAGCATCCCAACGTGCCCTGGCAGCATGTGGCTGGCGGTGCGATGCCTGTCAGGGAGCGCCGTCGCTAATACCAGGCTCTGTTTCTTGAGCTATGCTTGTTCCACCTCTTGTCGCTGGGATTAATTACTTTTGCTGAGTGTTTCTGCCCCTTTTCTGCAGCTGTCAAGGCGAGCGCGCGTTCCCTTGTCTGGTGAAGCACTTCACAGGGCCCTCCCAGGCACGTCTGAGAGCCTCTGATTTATCTTCAGACCCTGAGCGATTGGAAAGATATTAATTTCCTTCTGCGTTTCAGGGAATCGGGGCAGAGGAGATGCAGGTAGGAGCGCAGGGTTGCACTGAGTACAGTGGGAGGGACTGATGCAGACCCCTGTGCCACGGCTAGTGGACCAGCTCGAGCAGGGGATGGCCGTACTCACAAATCCGTGGCATACCCGAGAATTTCTGGGGGTCTGCTTTGGAAAGGTTTTACTCCATAGCACCGTGGTATTTTGGTACCTTTCTGGCAGACCGGCGATGACCATCCTTCTAAGAGCATCCCTGGCACATGGTGCCCTTCCCGTATGCTGGCTGCCACGTTACCAAGCGGGTGCTGGCCCTGCCTCGTGTGTGGTGCTGGTTCTGCTGCTGTTACAGCACATCTGGGCAGATGGCTCTGGGAGCCCGTAACTGGCAGCTAATGACGGGAACCCGGTTTTGTCCCAGGGAAGTTCCTGTGGCAGCAGTACGTGAAGGGTTTCTCCCACAATGGGATTGCCTTCCATTGCATCATTTTCTGTTTGTGCAATTTCCAAACAAAACGAAGCGAGTAACAAAAAGCCCCTTCTCTGTTCTGCAGGATCAGAGGGATGGGGAGACGTTACCCTCTCTCCCTGCCCCACGTGGTTTTTCTGCAGATTTACCTCACCCGTGGGACACAGAGGACCTGCAGCCTGTGCCGTGACCCCTTGGTGCTCTTCCAATGTCTGGTGGCTTCTTGCGTCCCCCAGCCACTGTCCCCAGTCCCCTCTGGTCTCTCCATTTCCTATTTGTGGTGCTTCTCTGGCCGTGCCTTGGTTGCAGCAATCTTGGGGCAAGAAGGCGGTGGGAGCAGCCGGGAGAGGAGTGTGGGACTGCTCACGTGCCAGGGCAGTCGCAAGCACGGTGGTCGTGCCGAGGATGCTGCAGGGTTGCCGTCAGCAGCCTCCATGAGATGCAAGAATTATTTTACTGCAGGTATTCAGAGCAGGTTGTCTGGGGCCCTGCTGGGAACCGGACACGGAAGGGCAGGAAACCTCGCCTCTTGGCTCCCCTCCCCACTCCGCTCCTGACTTACGGTGTCGGGGGCCAGATTTTAATGGCACTTGGACACGTAAAGGCGCAGAAGGACATCCGACGACTTCTTCGAAGTGCCGGCTGCCCAAGTCCTGTTGATTTGGACCCATCGCCGTGTGCCTTTCAGCATCTCTGGGCACCTGAGTGCCCAGGAATATCTGGCAGCGCCAAGCTCACCCGTCTGCCAGGTGCTGGAGCGGCGCTGGCGGGGAGAGCCCGGCTGCGGGGCGAGGATTTAACCTTCCTCAGAGGCCAGACTGGTGTCATATAGGAGCGTGCGGGAGAAGCCAACGCTGAGTGATAATAATAATGAATAATAAATTATGTAATTCTTTGTACTTCCATAGAGCCTTTCATCCAAAAGCTCTTAAAGTGCTTTATAATCATTAATTTATTAATCTTCCTGATGCCTTGTTGAGGTAGCTTGGAGACGCAGTTTTGGCCGCTGTGTGTTTTGTCCCAGGAGGTGATAACGCCCAAGATTCAAAGGAACTGCCGTCCTCCCTGGATCGCATCTGCTGGCCCCTCTTCGGTGGGGATTTAAGCCTGGGCTTAACTTGAGCCAGGTGCTTGTGGCTCAGAGCCGCGGTGGGATTTGGGATTGTGCTTAAGAGCCTTGCGGGGCCGCGGTCAGAGTTCTGTTAAGCTGGAGATTCATGAAGGTCCTACGGTATCGCTGCTTCTTGCAGTCTGCATAAAGCTGTGTAAAGCGCACGTGTGCAGTTGTGGGTGCAGAGCATGTGTCATGGGTGGCAATGGTTTGACGTGGACTCCTGGTAGAGAAATTGGGAAAGAAATGCAGTGCTGAGTATCCCTACTTGCAGCAGTGCTCCCAGGCCAGCCCAGCCACAGCATTGGCAACCCGTAAAATCTTGAAACAGGCTTAAAAATATGAGGCTGTTTCAGAAGAGCACATTTTAGCTCTTTGTTTTTAGTCATTTGGAGGGGGGGATTGGATTTCAGGGTTCACTTCTCATAGCTATTGCTCGTGTCCAGAACTACTAACACTGTATTTTTTTTAACGCCAGCTGCAATAGCCATGCAATCCGGCGTGCTCGGAGCCATGTCGGTGCAGCAGCATCACTGCTGGGATGGGGCAGGGGGTCAGGACAACAGTCCCGGGGCTCCGGAGGCCGCAGCGAGGCTCCAGTGAAAGCGTGGGAGCCGTGGCAAGGGTGCCAAAACAACGCCCGCGGCACTGGGAGGCCTGGGCTGCAGAGTGGGCGCGGGGAGAGGAAGATGCTCTTTTCCCAAGAACTGCATCCCACCCACTGTGATCTATTTTGTGGATTTTAAACTCACTCTGGCATCATCGTTTTCTGCTCTTTTACAATAAGCCACAAAATTGGCTCTGTTGCTCGACGGTAATGCATTGAATTAATGGGCATTAGTTTAAGAGCAAACTACAAACATATTGATTTGTAGTTACGGAGGTACGTAGTGGTGGGTTGAATTCTATGGGAAAGGAAAGAAAATTCTGCAATTGCAGCAGTTTTCAGCCAGGAAAACGGGTCGGTTCCTCGCTGGAGGCACTGGGCTGGGGCTTTGCTCCGTTGTGCCACCCTGGTGCCGGGGAAATGTGCCAGCCGGGACGGTGGGCAGGAGCAGAGGGGCAGGCAGAGCAAAGGAGGGACCTCAGCGGCTCCCCACTGCTGGTTTATTTTTAGCCTTGGAAGTGTTTGGCCCCAGGCACTGGGTTTCTCTGCCAGGTT